GCCTCTGGCAACCAAGGCAATATAAACATGCTACAGGTAAATCCCAGCTCCAGCCTGTACTTGGGGATTTCAGCCTGCCCATATCTGTCCTTCCTTGCTTTAGGGAAAGCAGCAATAAGGTCATGATTTCTTTCTTTTGTTTTGTTCACCAGAATGCCCAAGCAAGTTCAAGCACTTCTTTGAGGGCCACAGAGACATGTTCAAACCCCATGCATAGAGGAGCTCTGCTCATCTCTTGCTTAGGGATAATGTGACAAAGACAGGCCAAACCAAGCAGCTCTTGGAGAGCAAGAGCTAGGACCCTGGCTTTTGGTGCCTTCAAAGGCTGTCTGACTAGAAGTCCCAGTTGCCTCCCAAGAAGGCTTCCTCCTTTTTCAAGGCAAAACTAAAACTGCTAAGTAACAGGAGATGAAGAAAAAGAAACAAACCAAAAAGAAACCCTTTGCCACCAATGAAGATGGGAGGCTAGACAGAAAGTCTAAGAGGGGATGAACACGGGACTCGGGCATGGAGACATGACAGTGTTTTAGCCACTCTGCCACCCAGCTGAACTCTTCTGGGGCTCTTGCTACTGCTCCCTTCTTGCTAGACTCCAGAAGACAAGGAAATTCCTAGAGAATGGAATAATTCTTGGAGAATAGAGGGAGTCAGACCCATTCCCTTCCAGCACCATTTTTTTTTATGAAGCTGTCAGTGCCCCCTGCAGTAGGTCCTGCCAGTGAGACAATGGGATCAGAAGATTCCACCATCTACTCTGAGCCCCTAAAGGGCTGACATTGTCCTCTGAGAGATTTCTTCAGTTCATCCCCTTGGTTTTCCAGATGAACCTCTGCTTGTGACCTGCAGACCCAACAGCTCTTGCTTAAGAAACAAAATGCTCCATGGGATCAGGTAGGACAGGTCTCCATTTACTTCCAAGAGGGATGTGGGAAGAAGAAAAAGTGATGCTCACTGCCACTACTACTCTCTTTGTAGGGATACACATTTAAAGCTTCTTTTCTTCCTTTCTATCCAAAAGACTATTTGTGGATTTCTCTGCTGGAAAAAGTTTAATCTGTTCAAATTTGTCATCCAGTTCCAATGGAAATACAGGTGTGAACTGAACTGCAAAGTTCTAAGGTGACTAGGAGTGCAGAAAGGGCTGGAGATTTGACACGCACAGTTTGACCTGGAACTGCCAAGCACTTGTAAGTAAGAATTCTCTGACAACACCCACTTGGGAGCCTGCTTATGGGCAGCTCTGACCCAGCACCAAAACTCAAGGGGTTGCTATAATCCAGAGCACTGTAAGGAGCACCATCCTGTGCAAACATGTAAATTCCTATCAGAAGAATTCTTTTCCAGTGCTCACTAAGAGCATAAAAGTGTTTGTGGGGAAATACCAGCATTCATTCTTCTCAGAGGTAAAACCCTCTACTCAATGAAGTACAAACGTCCTTTTGGAGGCAGCTGCCTTTTTTGTGTCCGAAGTAATTTTACATTCTTAACCATAGACTGCCCTGCAGTGGTGAAGCCAAAATCTGCAACCTTACTGAATTTTATACAGGCTCTTTTAACTTAGCTATTTACAAGTAGTTTGCCCATCACTAGAATGGACAGAAAGAGACAGGGCAAACTACAGAACAAATGAAAGAAATGAAGCAAGGGAGATTTTGGTTGTCATCTTTGGTGTAAACATAGTGTGCAGCAAAATGCCACTACTGACTTGGGATATTTTATCTCTTTTTCATAGGAAACAAGGCAGATTTTATCACACCTTGTATCTCATTGTCTCCAGAAGCTGTTTGCTGACTTCAGCCAAATTTAACTGCAAAAATGAAGATCTCAAAGATAGCTAAATGTGAACAGAATTTGAGAAAACTGGTTTTTGCAAACGACTCAAGGAAAAGTATGGCTGTATTGTCAGCACAGAAATTGTTAGACAGCAAAGAATCCACAGAGGAGAGTGACCTTGTAGTGCCCCAGGAGAAAAGTTTCAGTTACATCTCACAATGAACCTAGAGATAGAAATCCTTAGAAACCCATGTGAAAGCAGAAACCAGGCTTCATTAGTTCTGGAGCTTGCTTTGTAAACTGACAAAACTTCCTCCTCCTTAGATCAGTTACCTCTCCCCCTCGACAGAAATTAGCTCTTTAATCATCATATTCTAAAGATGCAAAACTTCTGGAGTTTAATTTTCTGTGCTTTGCTGCCAGTGTCTGCCTTCTAAGCTGCCACACATTTGGCAGGGCTAGTAGTAGCACAAAAAGGTGCCACCAAACTTTTAGGTAGCAAATATGCCTGTATTCAGTATGCCTGTGGCTCAAGCAGTTACTTTAAGTTCTCAGAAGGGTAAAGCACAATCAGTGTTCTTTAACAGAGGCAAAACAATACTAAAAGCATTTTTCACACGTGATAGGTGTGGATTACCCTCAATGTACTTCAGATGATTCAAGAGAGATGTCCATCTCTCAGCTAATCTCCTTCAGCTCCCCTTACAGTAAGATCAGATAAACAGGCCCCTTAGAATGCAATTCAGCTGACCTCCTTTGGATATGTCTTTTGTTGTGAGACAAACAAATGTTGAAAAATGGCTATTTCTCTTCATTTCTTGTAGAGGAAGCCCAGGATTACTAACTCAAATATGGGCATCTGTTTTGCAAACGTTGGAATTTGGAGACCTCTTACTATAATATTAACTATACATCCTTCAAGTACTGTGAATGAACTTCATATTCTCATAGCTACTACTTTCTTAGTGAAAATACGTAATTGTGGTGAACTGAGACAGTTCTAACATACACGGCTCTGATAAAATGAGGTTTGGTGCTGAACTAGAAGTGTCTCGTAGTCATCTGAATCAATTCATGATGCATTATTCATCTTTGGCTTTGTTCTGGCAGAGAGCATCAACTTCTGCCCCACCTTACATGTTGGGTCCTCTAGACAGTACGTTCTGATATCTCAGTTTTTAAGGAGCCAGAAATAGATATCTCAAACATTTAGGAAATATGTCAGTTGACTTCCATTAACTTGAAAAAGAACTTATCTTTTAAAACTCAGGCTCATCAAGGCAGCACACGAATAAGTACAAAACCCATGTTTTTTGAAATGTGCTTTTAATCATTCAGAGAAAATAAGCTGATTATAAAAGGACCCAAACGGCTGTGCACTTGGAATAATACAAATTCGTGTTCTTATTTTGTGCACAAATAAATAGAGCACTGCTAAAAATAACCAGAGGACAAACAGGATACAGTAACTGGGAAAAGCAAAGTTCAAAAGTAGTCAAGGAAGATGAGAATGTTGCATAGTCCTTTTAGTTGAATGCTGCTAGCTTTTTCCCCTTCATTTTGATGTTAAGCTGATGGCTCTCTTGATACGGTTCAGAATGCTCGCCTTGTCATTTTCTTCTGTGCTCTGCAACTCACTGGATTGTGAGCTGCTGCATTCAGTGTCTTGACAGTTGCAGCTTTCCACATATATATACTTATGTGAAATTGAATGCCCAGTGGGGCATTTCAGTTCCACTTCCTTCACAGTAGTCCTGGATTCCTTGCAGCAGGAACAGCTGTGCTCCATAGAATTGGCCTCAGCAGAGTATCTGTTAACATGGAAAATGACAACATTACTCTGTGCCAGAAGCCAGTATACAGAGGAGAGGGTGAAATTATGTACAGAACTCCTGTGAGAAGTTTGGAATGATATGTAGAAGAGCCACGGTTGTAGTTAATGAAAGTGCTAAGCTCATCTAACAGACAGTGCTTATAACAATAAGCTTTTAAAATTCATTGCATTTGCTGAGGGTTTTTTCTGGTAAAATGATTAGTATCGAAGTCCTAGTTAAAAAACCCAGTGAGTTCTAGGAGCTCATCTTCCTTAGATTCCTCTCATCATCCCAGTACTGATGAATGTTAAATACACCAGGTCAACAGCTAAGAGCAGACAAAGCCCTAACCTGAATAAGAAAATCGCGTAGACAAATGGCTACAATGCCATCTACGATGGCATCACATCAATCAATTGCCTCCAAGGGCTAAAATTGCATCACGTGAATCAAAGTGCATATCCCAAACCACACAGTGTTAACAGGCAAGGGAACCAGCAGCTCTTTCTGTTCCTATCTCACAGCAAACTGCTTTTTGCCACCTTGTGTTCATCAGCTTCCCAAGCACCATTCCTAACCTGCAGAATCTGTCAATATCAAGAGCCATCTTTTTCTTGTATTTGTGTGCGGAGGTAATCACAGCAAGACTCTAAGTTGATAAGGTATTTCAAAACACAAATAAACCTGCTGGTTAATCGGGGTTCAATCTGAGACTAAAGATCAGTTTTCTTCCATGTAGGGTGCCCTGTGGCATATTCAGTGATAGGCAAAAAATGACAGTTTCTTTGGGGAGTTAGAATTATATTTTTCCAGTGTTTTAATAGCTCAGTACTAGGTGTCCTACTAGCCACTTTCTTATAGTCACTTTCCTGTAGATTCTCTCATTTCAGAGAAGAATGTACAGTGAAAGTATTCTACTAACATGACCCCTAAAGCTCTTGTTTTCTGATTTTTTTACTGTATAAAAGTTGAGCATATTTGAATATTCCTTTAAAAGATATATGTGTATTTCATTTTAGATGTTAATTATTGAGAAGCAGCTTTTTAGCTTATGAGCATAAGGTCTGGCTGCTTTATGGGCTCATTCTCATTGCAGGAAATAAACTATGTTCTTTTGTGCTGATTTCTAGCCAAGGTGGTCTGACACAAATGACAGACAAGCCAGCCTTTAATGAATGAATAGACCTTATCATAGCTGTCTGAATAGCAAGGCAATTTAATACATTTTTCTGCTTTGTATTAAGACAAATCAGCTGTTCAGACACAGATTTCATGATTTTGTGCCCATGATTTGGGGAGCTGATAGTTTCAGGTCTTCTATCATTCTGTAGTCGATGGATTTATTGTTCTTTTTATATAAACAAGCTCAGTGCCAGCAAAATTCAAATCTCATTGTCCGATCAGTTTACTTACAGTGAGAAAGTTCCACATGTTCCTTCACATTCAGTCAGGACAACTCTGTCCACAGAACGGCAGCCTTTATAAACGATGAAGTCTTTCCTTTGATGGACAGAGCATGGTGTGGAGCTCTCCAGAGGTGCACCTATAGGGAAACATGAGAAAATACTTTCAGTGAAATAGCTCCAGAAGTTCCTTGCAGTTCAGCACTGTGTGGGCTTCACTAGTGCACTCAAAGTATTGTCTTAAGTGGTCTTTCTGCTTCAGTTTAAACTTTCCCAGAGAATCACTCTGGACAGTAAATGCTTGGAATAACAAACAAAAATATGAAAGTATCTATTTAAATGCAAACATATAAACCTCTGTGGGGGAAAATGGGTTGATTTAAGAAGAAAATTAATTCTTTGTATTGTTGACTCAGGTACATTGGCATACTTACAGGTTTTGCAACAACCATTAGGTAAGAATGAAATAGTTCCCTAAAAGAACAAAGAAACAGAAGAAATTATATTATTTTCTTTCTCTGTATTAAAGAGGTTTTTAGGCCAATAATTGAGGAGAGCAATTCCTCGATGGCTAGAAACAACCAGTGAAAACTGTAGGATTGATCTGAATAAACAAAGATAATGGTCTCTTCCAGACTTGAAATCTAGCAATTTACAAAGGATTGTAGAAATAAAGATAATGCTTTGAAGGAAGTCTGTGTTTAAGATCACGCAATTTTTCCTCAGAAACAATTAAAAAAAAAAGTTTTCTCAGGGACTTCTATATTTGAATGGGGAGTATGCATGGTGTTACTGGCAGCCTACTGACTGAACATCTTGTGTTTCTGTAACATTCAAGAAAACATGGTTCTTGTTTAGACAGAACCTGGCACTAAGCCATCAGTGAGGACTTTGTATCTCAGGGCTGACCAGCGTTTTGGCTACTGAGAGACAGCTGCCAGTTATAAGCCTTGAACTCTCACCCAGATCCCTTATTTTATACACTCTAGAGGTCTGTGCACGGATGCAGCAGAAACTTTAACCCTTGTGACTGAGAAACTTTGGTGAAAGGTCATCAAAGCTTAAATTCATTTTTGTTGTTAGTTGAGTGGCTGAACTAAACTGAAGTAATCTATGCGTTGAGTAGAGGGTAAATTTTCCATATTTACTTACAGGTTTGCAGCTGTCCTCATTGAATGCTGGGCAGGTAATCTCAGATGTGGAAGAGATAAGCTGGTTGTGGATATTTACACAGCTATAAATGGTGCAGTTGTTGTAAGGATCATTTTTAAACTCTCCAGGCTGCAAGCAAAATAAAAAATTTAATAATGAAAGCTGAAAGGAGCCCAGACAGAAATGTTCCTGTCCTCTGACAATGACTTTCCTCTTGTTTCCCGGTCAATTATTTTTTAGGTTAACAGCCATTTTGGATACAGATTATTACATGTATTTCAGTATGCCATACATGGAGACAATCTTCAGTTTAACATGGGATTTGCCTTGGAAAAGAGAAATCCTTCTAAAGTATGTAAAGCACATTAGAGTTATTAACAAAATCATCCATGCCAATGGGTTTTGCTTAGGGAAAGCTAAACTGTTATATAGTAATTAAGAACAATCTTGAACTTTCACCCTACAGGGGCAATAAATTGTTTCATACACAGGCTTTACTAGTGTTTTTCAGTGTTTTTTCACAAGCTTCCAGACATCACAAGAAAAACCCTTCCAATAGTGTTGCATTTGTCATTCCAGAAAATTTGATTTCCTGAGTCCTTCATTCAGGCCAAAAATTGTAGATAGACTTTGCTTTAGGTGGACCTCTTATCTTTCAGGTGCAAACTTACACTAAGCCTTATCTCTGACAAGGGGGTGTTCCCTTCTCTGAAAGGGGGAACAATAGAAATTTAGTAGAGCATACTTACACTCAAGATGAGGTCAGAATTGCTTGCTGTAGATATAATACACTTAGTCTGCACACATCTTCCACAACATTCACCTTTTACTGGCTGATGTTCATATCCCTAGATATTAAAATTAATTAAAAACAAAAGCATTATGATCGATAAATTTTTGAGAAATAAATGAAAACGTACTAACCCATTAATTGATTATGCTTTGAAGTACACTCTAGATTTGGGGGTTTATTTTCCTTTCTATGTTCTAACCCAGTGGAAGAGAAGTAATAAAAGCAGGCTACAGCTGGAATAAATTAAAGCACTATAATAAATATGCCTAATAGTTAAATATAACTCGATTAAACGCTCTACAGAAATTTCCCAGCTAATCCTTCAGCTAATCCAGAATACTGTCTGGTGGGTTGACCTTGGCTGGATGCCAGGTGCCACCAAGCCACTCTATCACTCCCTTCCTCAGCAGGATGAAGGGAGAGAAAATAAGATAGAAAAAACACATGGGTCAAGATAAAGGCAGTTTAACTAAGCAACAACAAAGGCTGCACATGGAGCAAAGGAAAACAAAAGACTTATTCTCTACTTCCTATCAGCAGGCAATGTACAGCCAATTCCCAAGAAGCAGGGCTTCAGTACGCATAGCAGTTGCTCTGGAAGGCAATCATCACAATAACGAATGCCTTCCTCCTCCTTTCTCTTATCTTTTATTGCTGAGCTGATGTCATATGGTATGGAATATCCCTTTGGTCTGTTTGGGTCAACTGTCATGGCTATGTCGTCTTCCAAGATCTTGCCCACTCCCAGCCTACTGGTGAGGGGGGAATGTTGGAGACACAGCCTTGATGCTCAGCACTGTTCCAAAACACTGGCGTATCATCAACACCTTTCTAGCTACCAGTACAGAGCACAGCACTATGCGGGCTGCTATGGGGAAAATTAACTCCATCTCATCCAGACCCAAGCACATACTGTAAATTACTCAGTCAAGCTTCACACAATATGTTGCTCAAGGACCCTTGGTATGCACGCTGGAGTTGGACTCTGGATCACTGCTCCCTGTCCTTTGCTTATACCACTCATTGACCAAGCTGCTTTTCATGTACATGGGTATTTCGTGGGTTTTTTTTAAGTTTGTCACTTACTGGTTCACAATATGTGTTGCATGGAATATGTTCACATGAGATGATATTCAGTTGAGTGCTGACATTAACTTCATTAGTGCAGAAACAATTCTGACACTTATCAACAAAGACTGAGGAATTAGGCTGTACATTTTAAGAGGAAAAAAAGGTTCATATATTAATGAGATGTGTGAAAGACATTTCTTAATTTTCAAAAAATCTGTAAACCAGACAAAGGAAAAGGAAACAATCATAAATACTATTGGATAGTTATTTGGCTAGCCATTTATGAAGACAACATTTTAAATACTGAATTTAATTTAACTTATGTCTTTATTGAAGTCCTATATAGCAATGATAAACATAGATATTGAAAGGACAGGTCTCATACAAATATCTGCAATACAATAATTACTAGAGCAAACAGAATTTATGATGAATTATGAAAAAAAGTCTGTTTAGAACAATACTTATTTACAAATCTTTTCATTTTTGAAAGCAGTCTTAACACTTCAATAATGTGCTGGCCGTAAACATGGACTGACTTTTTAAAAAGCATGCACACTTAACTCTAAACTCAAATCTCTCTCTGATACTGACATACAAACAACTCTTCAGTCTCATACACAGCAATCTTTTCAGAAAAGGTTTAGGCTTTGTGAAATTGATTAACTACTGACAGGAATTTGAACAGTTCTAAGATATTGACTGTACTAGGTAAGCCTCCTCATAGCGCTTCTGGTAAAGTATACTAACTGGTCTTTCAAGCATTTTCAGAAGACTGTTGAAACAGGAACTTACCAAGAACTCAGCATTCTGAAGTACACAAACCCTCTTGGGAACTGTTAACGAGCAAGGAGTTAGGTGGTTACATAGGGGAAAAAGAATAAGGTCTTCACCCCACTCTAGTCAAACTCATTTCTTCCACAATGAATTGCAATGCATAGGGTCAAATACATTGGTTATTCCCCATTTATATGACATATATAAAGAATAAGAACAAATACTGTATGTGCAACAAGGGAAGAAGATTTGGCTCAATATATGCAGTCTAGATCATAGCCAGGAATGTCCACTTAACAGGTACAAGTAATTCCTTCTTTCAAATACCAAGAACAAAGCAGACTCTGTAAAGCTATCTTCTATTGGGGACGCTTATAAGAACATTTTTCTATATTAGGCTGAGACCACAGTCCCAGTTAATTCTGTAGCTGTTCTTACATGTACTTACAACAAGGAAAACTGAACTTGAGCCACCTGAACTATATCTGATTTCGCAGCTGTTTGTCATAACCATAGCAGTAGTAACCAATGTTAATAGTAACCAATTTGTAGAATCTGGTTGTGTTTATTACCTCTTTTGATAGGCTATTGCATACAGTCTTACTAAGTGTGATGCTAAATTATGTAATATATAATGCCAATCATTGCAATGTATTTCAAAGGGACTTACCACACTCATACACAGGACAGCACTGACCACTGGGAATATGAGAATGAACTTCAAATCCCAGTGTACACTTGGGGGCTTTAGATGTGCACAAGCTTGTATTGCATTCTGTAAAAAAAAAGGAAAAAAAAAAAAAGGAATAAGCCAGAAAGCACACTAAATCACAGCTGCTAGAAAATAGACATCTATCAAAGCATTTAGGACAGACTTTACATTGCTAGGCAACCATCCAGACACTCTCCAAAGAAACAAATTGCAGAAAGAGAACATATTTTTCCTAGTGAATCCAGGAATTGGATTGGGGGATGGCACTAATTTATGAAACTTTTTTTACTATGTAAATACCAAGTGTTAAAAAAGTATCACAATTCTTTTCAGAGAAGTAGTGAACAACTGTTACTCTCTCCAAGGTTGTAGGCAACGGCCTCAAAATGAAAACCCACATAGAATTCCATAATGTATCTGCATTTTACTTGAATAAAATGTGGTCCTGAACTCAAAAACCTATAGATTCAGCTATGTTGAGTCCCATAATTGTAAACTCAGTTATGCTGAGTCGTTGCAATATTAAAACGTATTTTCCCTAACACTGGGCAAGCTGATTTTAAAAAGAATGAGGAAAGATACTATTTTGTGACTCCCTGTTGCAGGTCTTTGGCGCTAAATTAGTTCAGCTCTATTTCTTTTCTATTCCTAAAAGGTATAGAAAGACTAGAAACAAAAGTATAAACTCACTGCAGGTGACAATGGGGCAGCAGAAGTCTTCAGAATTTACTTCATTGACCTCATAGAAGCCTTCTCCATCACAACTGGTCTTACTTTGTCTGGCACATTCATGAGGCTCACATACAATACCATTTCCACCTTCCAGGCAAACACAGTCCTGACAGTTTACTGTAAACTCTTCCCCAAACTGTCATTAAAGAAAATAAAGTGAGTGATTTCACGGTTGCCAATTAAAAAGAACAGAAGTAAAAACAGGAATGAAAATTTGGGAGACCACAAAACAAGACTGCACCAGAGGAGACCACCCTCCTCTCCCTACCGCCAGCCTTTACTTGAAATACAAAAGCATATGGCTGCATACCTCTCTTGGTATCTTATCCACTCCAACACAGCCTGTGAAAATATCAAAATATATTTCCATTACCACTCATATAACAGTAGACATCTCTACTATATGTTGTGTGAGTACAGCATACAGTCAGATCTATGCTGCATACATGAGAAGGAAACAACAAAGAGGAAACAAACATGCATCCAAGTGAAGCAAGTAAAACTCACCACAGGTTTTCACACAGACATCCACACCAGAGTCATACAGCATTGTTCCACTAGGACAGAAACAGCCTTCCACTTGTTTAGCTGAGGTTTCGTTTTGTTGACTGTACGAGACAAAATGTTCAGAGGAACACCGTTACTGTCACAGGCACACAGAGGAAGATTATGCCAAATAACTTTTCACTGAAGATACAGTGGCAAATGATCTGCACATTTACGATTTAGGGATTGTCAGTGTTCATATTTGGTATAGCCAAACAACATAAACAGTACAGGCACCCAGATTTAGGATCAAGAGAACAGTAGTACCAAATTTTACAGTCAATTTAAGACATGATGGAAGGTTGATTTCTCTCATCCACCTATGCATTAGATATGACTGAACAGTTAGTTGTATGAGCTATAACTAACAGTGAAGCAATTATTTACCTTGATTTGCAGGTTATCTCTTTAATAGGACCACATGCTCTGTATTCTTTATTTGAGGGGCATTTGTAAGCTGGAATGGGAGAATAAAAAGGAGGAAGAGCTCAGTAACAATATCATATAAAAGCCCCATGACCTTATGCCAAGAAGTTAAACACTGTCTACTGATTTTCCTATGTATCTTTGACAATCTTGAGAAGCAAACAGAAAAAAACACAGATATCAGACTCATGTCTCTGAATAGAATTATTTTATGCAATTTAGCCATAGAGGTATAGCACCATACTTTACATTAAGAAGATAAAGCCAAGAGTCTACATCTTGATTACATTTTTTTTTCACAATTTCAGTTTCTTTTGCACAAGTTCTCAAAGGGGAGTGTATTCCTACCCTCTGTTCTCATCTTACTACAGCTGAAAATGAATGTGCATGTCACTAAATACAGAGTGATCTGCTGATGCCTGCAAAACATAAAACTGCCAGTGAACAAAAAAGTATCTACTGATACAGATGTTTCTGGCACAGTCAATAGATGTATATTTTTGCAAGGTCATTTATAATTTCCATTGTTGAAAATGTTACCTGTAAAATTAGTTAAGGAAAGCAGCTGGTGTGATTCATTAGTGTCTTCATTGCTCGGAAAGCAATATGACTTACCATTAAGACATTACTGCCAAAACAGTTCTACATAAGCTTCCCTAATAGTCCAGGATAAATGGCCAAATACTTACAACAAACACCATTGGTATGACTTCTCCAATCAATGCATACACTTTGGTCAGCACATGTGGCAGCATAGGTCTGAAGACTTGAGCATTCCAGGTCTAAGTTGGGAAGTACACAACTATCAAAAACACAGGCTGCATAGTACTTTTCAGGCCGGACAAAGCTATGGCATGGCTCGAACACGCTAGAAACAGAAACATTTATCATTCTTAGTTACTGAATAATCCATTAATTCTTCAACGTGCTTAACATTATAATGTGGCAACAGTGGTGCTTAAGGAGATGTGAAGGACTATTACTGAGAGATTTTTACTAAGAGCACTGCAATCTATCTAGATTATAACTTTTCAACATATCTTATTCTCCCCTCACGTACAAAACACTCAAGGACCAATATTTTCTGTCCAGGAGCTACATAAATATTGTCGAGTGTAACCATGAACTACTTCTCTAAAGAGATTTTTTTTGTTTGTTATTTTTTTTTAAATTCTGACATTGCAGTTTAAAAATGAAGATCACTGTTTTCAGCTGGACTCTGTTTTCTGTTAAGTGAGTGTGGGAAAAGGTGAGAGCATAAGACAGTGGAGGGCAGAGAAGAAAAAAAAAAAAAAAGAAAAAAAAAATAGAAGAACATGGGAACATCAAGAAAGGTTAACGTAGCAGCCAGAGGGTTGGAAGCAAACTATCAGCAAACAATGACATCTAGAAACAGTAAAAGGAATGGAAGCAACCCACAAAGCTGCAAGAAATGGAGCAATAGTTAGAAACATTTTTATTGAGAAATTAATCCTAAAATTCACACTTAATTTGAAGATCAAATGCTTATAAACCCCAGAGGAATGTCTACCTTCCCAAAAGAAGCTTGCAGATGGAAGATTCTTTGCAATGCTGCATTGGGGTTGTGCTAGGTGCTTTTGTAGGAATTAGGCCTGGAGAGCACTGTGGTTTAGAGGGATCAACAACTTGCCAATGATCTGCCATGGTTTCACAGTTTTCTGCAATATTTCCATTCGGCAGCATGCAGTCATCTGCCGTGTTGTTATTGCAAGTACCTAAAATTGGTAAGTGGAGAAAGAATTCACTAACAGATTTATCAAATTCCATTCACCTTTGTGGCAGGGCTGTCATTTAACTGTTTGTGGTTTTCTGAGAGTACAAAAATTACAAGAGTAAGCCTTACCACACTGTCCATGAGTGTTGTTTCCAAACAGGCTGTAAGGCATTCTGATAGAAAAGGACAAGCCATTGTAGGTCACATTCATTTTTAGTTCAGGAATTTCCACTACACGATTTATGCCTGACTCATAGATGCTCAAGCCAAATTTTTTATAAGGCAAAGCCACTGCCTGTTTGTTTACTGTCACCTAATAAATAAAATAAAAACAGAAAAGAGACATACATTTAATTTGTCTTTAAAAAACAATTGTCTGTTCATTACTTTGCATTGGAGATAGAATGTAGAGGCAAGTAATGTGCTTTTAGTTTATATCAAATTTCTCTGTTTCCTTTTATGTTACTGGAAAGACAAACTTTTCTTCTTTGAGCCAAAGAAAAGGCCTATCAGCTACTGATAAACTTGGTTAAAATTCAGAGTTTAAACCACCTAAATTCTAACACTCAACAGATTTATTAGAGTGACTATGGCATTGAGAACACCCCATGAACGTGCAATATAAAGTCCTCCTAAATTCCTAGTGCACACATTTTTAACGTTGTGGGCATACAGGGAATATTCTTGTAGGAAAATTAAATGAAAGAAATAAGCCAAAACCTGTATTCTTTATTTAAATACAGTAGCAATGATATATCTATAGAACTAACCCTACTACGTTTACTCAGCAATGGTAGATTTCCTTGTTTTGTAGGAAAAAAAAAAAGAGGTCAAAATGTTGCAAATTTTCAACAATATGCTGCAACCTAACTTGTAATATGCCCAAAGTAATGTACAAAAATAAAGCAAACAAATCCCACAAAAGCCTGAACAGAAACACTTCTCACCCAATTCTGAAGCCCCAAAGCTGGGGCATCATTTTTATCAATGACACAAACTCATAAGAGCACCTATTCTGAAAAAGTAAAAAGGTGACACCAATCAAAGCTAGTAATGGTACTTTTTAAAAATGCTTAAGCCCAGTACTTTACTGTTATGTCTAGTTTACATTATATTTTCACATTCAAGAATTTTTTCTTTTCCTTTGTTACATTAATATTAATTATAAATTAATTTCTTTTATAACCCTAACTCCTATCAATTTGTCCATGTTTGCGTATTTAGAAGAGATGAGGCACTGAAAATATTTGAGATAAAAAAGGGAAGAAGTTGTAGAATTTTTCCCTATATTTAGAGTCGAAAAAACAGTCCTTCAAAACAGTCCTATTTTATAATCCAAACTGACATTAAATCTAAAACACAGATTCCTTTCTCATTTTTCCGCTAACACTGTGAATATAATTATCACATTGATGCTGTATTAATATTTGAATCAAGAAATCAAGGGTAATGTTCTCTAATACCTCTACTTGTAGAGTATTTGGTTTGACTGTTGCTATGCGGACTTCCTGAGTCTCATGTCTCACAATGAGCGTTCGAGGACAGGAGACTACATCCCGTGTATCACAATGGTAATTATCAATGTAGACACCAAAGTTGTCAACTTTCTTATAAATCTCTTCCACAAGGACGTATGTACAATTCCCTTGATAGCTGTAGTACAGTCCGTCAAAAGTCATGTAATGTGGGTCTCCCCATCCAGTGCAGTAGCCTACAAAAACATACAGCTAGGTTAGCTTCTTATGGCAACATAGAGAATCAGATCAGCCTACAAACAAAATCTGTAGGTGTGGGATTCATCCCATCTAACTTTAAGCATTTAAATTTTTAAAGCGTATATGTCAGTGCATGAGCTCATTATCTAGAACTCGTCAATAACAGAGTAAAACAGGCACTTTCAGGGCACAGTTTGTCTGACTTATTTCTGATAGACAACTGACAATAAGAATAACTGCACCCTAGGTATACCTTTACCGACAGTCTGAACAAGTAATTTACGTGTAGGCTTCTAGCCTATAGATGTCTGCATCTGGATGTTTAAATCCTGCCTTGGGAGACCAATTCATTCCACTAACAAAGTAGCTATGTAGAAATGATGGTAAATTATGTAAATTAGCTAAATAGAAGCAAGGAAGCACTCAAAACAGACGAGCACTAGAAGTCTGAGGGTCACAGCCCTGTGTGATACTTGTCCCCTGATAAATATTCTTGCTCTTGACACTAGTATTGTTCCCACAGAAGATAAAATATTCAACAAAATATACACTTACAATCACACTCCCAGTGCCAACAGCATCCATCCTCATCGATGACTTGCACAGGAGAAAGCCCATTGGCACATGTAGGTTTAGGAGGTGGATTACAGATTATGGGAACCACCTGGATTATATTGTCTTCTATACATATTGCCTTAGTGCAGTTACAGAGCCACCATGACTCACCTGGCTGTGTTTAGAAAGAGAGAGGAAGGGGGAAGAGAGAAAAACCTTATGAAGCAGTCAGACTGATAACAGTTATGCATGAACGTCTTTTGCAGATTTTTAAAATGATATATATTTATTGAGAATTTTTTCCCCATCAGAAGTCTGAAAGTGGGAAGGACGGGCAGCATTCAGCACCATCAAGGCCTGCAAGATGAGCTAGCACTACTGAGAGCTGCTAAGTGAAAAGCATTATTTATAGAAGTCAAGCCAGTAACCTGAAGTGGGAATTGCCTTTTTCAGTTTCAGCTATCTAAAAGTCAGATGCCTGATCTAATCTCATCACCTAAACTCCCTTTCTAATCAGCAGTGAAAGACAGGGGTAAATATCAGTGATCAATATATGATCCACGAATGCCTAGAACAGATTAACTGATAAAGTTACAGTGAACACCAGCTATTTGGGGAGTAATGTCTAAGGTGATTACAGGCATACGTTGCGATTGTATGCATTTTTTCTATCTTCCACAAGTTTTTCATCCATGCATAATTTTTATCCTGACAGATCTACTGAGTAAGTTGGTAGATATCTAAGCTGTGAGGAGGCTTTGGAAATATACAAGACATTAGCTTGTTTGTGTCAGAGGTGAAGGGTTCCAAAAAACTCAGAACTCTGAGTCAAATTTCACAAGCATTTGAATGTGGTGATCTGTTTCACAGTCCTTTCCTGAAACAAGATTATGGCCAAGTATGTCTCATTCCGAACTCAGACTAGTTCAGCCCTGTGTTTTCTTGTTGGGTTGCACTGTAAACACACAAACAACTTTTCCCCACTCTGGAACTGTTCAAAAGTAGAAACAGAAAAGATAGTTTAGCACCACTTAGTCCTTGGTTACGTCTTTATTAAAGCTACCCTAGAATAAAGAGAAACACACAGCTGAGATCTAAGTCCTGGAAGAAAGTATATTAAAACTATCCTTGAAGAACTAATAGCAGTATATAATCTATCAAACTGAGTATCATTGGAAGTCATGCTGACACCCCAAAAAACACAGAAAGAAAATACAGTGGACTGACATATCATTCTCTATACAGATTAATACTTACTCTGTATGTTACTAACATTGAAATTATGTACCTAGTCTCAACCCAAAGCAGAATGCTATAAAAAAATCATGAAATCTTCTCACCGCATAAGATTCATTAGGTAAAATAGAACAATTTCTTCCGGTTGTGGTCGGTGGTAGACTTGTAGTTGAAATTGAAGAACTGAGAGGAGTAACTGTACTGTATGTAGAACTTCCTGTAATGGTGACTGCACTTGATGTAGCAGATGGCCCAGAAGTGCTGGTTGAGACAGAGGAAAAATGTTCAGAGGTAGTGGTGGTTGCAATGACTGTGGTAACATTCCTAAACGTTGTTCCGGAAGTGGTAGTAAATGATTCTGTTGGAGTTGTGCCAGAGGTGGTGACTATGACTGGGCTTGTT